TCTTAATAAAATCCCTGTTAGACATTTAGCAGCTAAGCTAGAGTCACCGGGCAGACAGAAGCCCGAATCCACGTCTATTGTGAAGTGAATTTTAAATATTTGCCAGCAAATCGAGGAATTACCAATCTATGTCACACATGATGTCACATGGGTTCCCGGTTGCAAAAAGAGACCGGTTGGCAATTTTAATGCCAACCTGGGTAAAAGGGAGCTGAATGGAGTGAGGACCTAATTAATAATGCTAGGAGGGTGCTAACACAAATGTAGCTGTCAGATGAACGCCGCTCACTTTAATGTTTATTTTGCTGAATCCCTGTGCTTATCACTGGGTGACGAGCTGTTATCATACGCTGAAAGCATTATGTAAAAAATATATCCCACATAGCAAAATATCTCTGTCCCAGATCTGGGGTCCGTTCCTCGTACCTCGCTTAAATGATCTAAGATTATTTGGCAGATCCTGGATCTTTTAATCTTGATAACTGATCTCTCGCTAATTTGGTTCTTCAAACAAGTTCGCGAATCAGATTAGAATGTCTGGATGAACTGATCTGAGATCTGTGTGTGTTGTGAAGGACAGATCTATCCATCCTCGAAATCATGATCAGCAATACAGCGATTGGCTGATGGCACAGCAGCGTAATGACATCATCTGATTAATATTCAATTATCCATGTGAGCAAAATTACATCAAATTAGCAGTAAACGGCTTGTTGAATATGACACGCAATAACCTTCCACATGTGTTGTGAGCTGCAGACTTTACACTTTCATGTGTCGAGAGTATTCATCATGTATTTCAATGCAAATCAGTGTATTTAGTTCTACATTTAGAGAAGATTTTCTGCATTATTGTAGCCGTTTTTTTAATCGGTGTAAAGAATAACTAGTTGTTTACAAAAGCATTTTGATTTTGGTAAAGGCGTCTGCAACTTTTGTGAAGCATGTTTATGACTGCATATGTATTATTGCTTTTAAAAAAAGTCAAATATTGTGCATTTCTATCATACACAATTTGTACTAAAGCGATCTAAAAAGTTCATATCAATAAGTTTTCTCTTTGCACCACCAGGTGGCAGTCTTAGTACTTTCATTTCGGAGTGCAGATTGCATAAGTTTTATTAATATATATATATATATATATAGTTAAAAATATGTACCATTTTCCCAAGTGTAAATAACTACTACAGTTAGAAAATATCAGCATTCGGTACATACTTTCAGTATTTTCTTTGCATGAACTGAGCCGATCTAATCCTGTTTATATGAATTGAGCCTGCTGCCGAGCAGGTTTGACCCAGCAGAACTGTTGCTATGACAACAACTCTCGGATCAGCTTTGAAGAACGAAACGATCCTGGATCATGTCAAATCGCCAACATCCAAATCCAGCTAACTGAGTAATCCACGTACGAAGAACAGACCCCTGGTCCACACAATCAGCTTTTGCTTGGTCCACATGCCGCAGTGAATTACGGTACATGACTGGACGAAGTCTGGCTTCCAGACAAGGGGCAAACATGGACCATATCTGGGCCAAGTCTCAGCCAAACTAATAACCAATAACTGAACCTGAACTGGGCCAGAAACGTTGGTGTGTCACGACTGATATTGAAATTGATAAACCCATGAATCATTGTGCGTTAGGCACAATATAGGCGTGCTTTATCTTGCAGTGACCTGATTGGTAGAATTGATTTATTTTTATTTGATAATAATAAGAAGGTTTTTTAAATTTGGGTCAAGATAGGGCAAGCAGATGCTGCAGATCTGCAGAGTGGATGCGCGCGTAATGAAGAGCGGTGTTATCGCGCGCGTACTGATCAGCTGTGTTGTCGCGCGCGTACTCTAGAGCGGTGTTGTTGCGCGCGTACTGAAGGGCGGGACCGAAGGTGTGCCGCGTTGCGGGGGCACTTTTGATCATTTTGGAAGGGCACTTTCTATCCAAGACTAAAAAGGGCATGTGCACTGCACAGGTTGAGCCCTATGTGTGCACGTGCCTGCATGGGCCACATTTTAATTATTAACATCTGGGCCAAATACTACAATTTATATCTGGCCAAATTATTGCGTGCCACTTTAAAGACGGTGCCACCTCTGCCAAGTCAGGGCCATGTTTGGTCCACATGCTGTATGCCAGTGCTGGATAAATGCCTGCTGTGCCAGATTTATGCCAAATCTGGGCCAGAATTCTTTGCCTGGGATGTAATATGTAATAATAAAACTTATTTCTAAGACAACAACAAACTCTGTACCGCATAGGATGTCATTCCCTCGCTGTAAATGCTAGTGCTCTCTTTTTTTTCTGCAACCTCCCTGCGCGCGCATCCTGAATGTTTACAAACACGATAATTCGTCTATAGCATGATTTATCCACACGTGCCGCGTCTGGTGTGAACACAGCATTATGGTTAATTTATGGATATTTTTTTCAAACAAACAAATAGATATGACAGCACAATGTAATGTGTATTTATATGTACACGATATTGCATTTTTATATGTAACGGAGGCTAGCTAGTGTGTGCTGTGCAGGTAAACCTCACTCCTCTGACCTCTAAAGGTGCTCTAGCGACAGATGCTAGAGGTCATGGTCTTTAGCCTCCTTGTTAGACCATCCCACTCCCATGCGAAAGATTGCTGGTTCGATACCAGCTCGGAGCGGGTTGGGTGGCGTAGGACTGGCGGGGTTACATATACACTGTACAAATGTTGGGTTTTTAATGCATAATTTTAATCAAATGATGGGTCAAATGTGGACAAATATAATTGGTGTGTTAAAAGGGTTTATTAAATTTTTTTTTTGTAAATTTACCCAGTCATTGGATTTGCCAAGCATCTGTACGACACCATTAATTATTAAAATAAGAAAGAAAAGAAGCGATCTGATGTTGGCAAAAAAGAGGATTACAATTGTGCTAACCATCGAACAAAAACAAGTAGAAGTGGAGGTGATCAGGACAGTCAATCCTCGGGTAACTCACAGATCAATAATGGCTGTTTCATTAAATTTCATACTGGGATTTGGAGTGAAACTGGTTGTACAACTAGTAATAAATACTGTTTTACTATAACAAACCATGGTTAAGTTTTGTAAATGATTGTGCACATGGAGCAAGTGCATCTTGATTCATAAAAACTTTTCTGTTGAAACTGATGTTTTAAACAATGTGTGTGTAACTACATTAAAAAGGGCATTTTAGCTTTATTCTGAGGCGTTTCAGGCGCGTTCTGTGTCTTTAATTTTTATGTTTTAATATTTAGATTCAGAGAACTGTAATAAAATCCACTTCAGGTTATTTATTATCATCTTCCATCTGTCTTGTTTCTGTTTGTTTCACATAAACACGCTTAGAGGACTGTGACGCGACGCTCCGGCTAGTCCCGCCCACAGCGCGATCTGATTGGCGTAAAATCCCGCCATGACGTCCCGCTCATGTCGCGCATTTCTGACGCGAATGTGCGTCATCATTCCGGAGCGTTCTGATCGACGCGTCTCTTCAGCAACTCAATAATGTCAATGGCCGCGTCAGAGAAATTAATCCAGACGGTGTACGCGTTCCCGGTGCTGTACAACGTGTCTCTGCACGATTACCGGAGCACCGAGCGGAGGGTGAAGGCGTGGAGGGAGGTCGCCGCGTCGGTCGGGCTCTCCGGTCAGTGCGTCAACATTACGCGCGCGTCACGCTAGCGAGCGTCTGAGCGCTGAAAGTGCTGCTGCTTCACTGACCTTCATCTCCTCACTTATTAATGAGCACAAACTGAACTAAACTGAGCAGAAATCACAGCCGCTGCGTCGCGTCTGAATCTGACGCGTCAAATGATAGAGAATGTGCAGAAGTTCACAGCGTCGCGTTCCCGAGCTCCACATGTGCGCTTTATAAGCGTCATTTCAACTTTTACAGACGCGTCTCCAAAGCGCTGTCGCGTCTCCTAATTCAAACGCGCGCGCGACGCAGAGTTTCTGTTTGTGTGTGTAATAAACACTGATGAGTGAAGGAGATTTAACACACTGAGGTGGAGACGCGCAAACACACACACACACACACACACACACAGTCTGAGCTACTGATGGACTTTATTACAGGATCAGTTCTGCTGATTATTGATGCGCGGTAACACTCAGAATATGAACTGAATATCATCTAAACATGAAGCTTTTCCTGATGAAGGTTTCCAATGCAGAAATGTGTCATATTCAGGCTTCATCTGTGTCTAATAATAAAGATAATCCGTCAGCTTTAATATCAGACACAATAGTGCAGGTCAACATGACAGCGATAGTCAGAAATGAAGGTTTACACGCGTCATTTACTCCTCAATAGTTTTCAAACCTGTAAGAGAAGATATTTAGAGGAAATCTTCAATCCTGTAACCATCATTTCTACAGTAGGACACACAAATACTGTAGAGGTCAAAGGTTACAGCATTGCTCAATGGTTACAGGCCTCCAACATTCTTCAAAATATCTTCTTCTGTGTTCAGCAGGAGAAATGAACTGTTCAGGGTTTGAGACGGGCGGAGGGAAGGTGAATGATGAGTTTAACTGTCCCTTAATCCATTATGCTGAATTAATGTGCACATCAGGCGTTTTAAACGGCTTCAGCTAGACGAGGAAACTCTTGAACACATGAATAACTCTATTATTAATCTTCATCAGTGAACACTGAGTCTGAGCAGTGCTGCAGAGATGCTGTCGATCATCAGTTGATCAGCTCTGTCAGATGTGTGATGAATGCAGAGGGAATCTGCTGTAGTTTGACTGGAATCATCTGCTCAGGGCTTATTTTGCTGGTTTTGAGGAGAAACTCTCCTAGTTTTGCTGATAATGTTTGTGAATGAGAGTTTTCGCTCGTCTGTAAATGCGTCTGGATGTCTGAAGTGTGGATATTTGGGCTGGAAACAGCTCTTCTGCAGTGTGTAATGAGCGCAAGGCAGGCAGGATTACCATGAGGTGTGTGTGCTGGTCAACTGAACGTGTGTGTGTGTGTGTGTGTGCAGTGGTGGAGTGTAAGCGCAGGTGGAAGACCATCAGGGACAGATACATCCGCGAGAGGAGACTCTGCAAGCTGAAGAAGGATCTGGGCGGCCGGCGTCTGCATTACTGGCCCCACAGAGAGAGCCTGGCCTTCCTGGACGCTCACATCCGCAAGAGGAGGCGTCCCAGTGGAGCCCAGGGGCCCGAGGAGGAGCAGCAGGAGGAGCACAGCAGCGCCGCCCTGCAGGAGGACAAGGTCACTGCAACACACACACACACTACACACACACACATCAGATGTTTGCTAATGTAACTAGGTTGTGCGCAGGAGGAGTGTGTGCAGGAGGAGTGTGTGTCGGACAGCTCCAGGTTTGTGTCTCCGCTGAACCCGCTGCCGCTGTCCATCGTCACTCAGCTCAAACCCGTCCCGCAGGTGAGTCCGCTGCTGCTGACCAGTCTGCCTCCAGGCCTGAAGGTTGCGCCGGCGTCCAGTTCAGCTCCTCCACTCCTGCCGGCCTCAGCTTCAGCCGGCCCTCTGAACGTTCCCCTGGAGGAGCAGCAGAGGGCCGACGGGGCCCTGGATGAGGACCAGCTGTTTCTGCTCAGTTACGTCCCTGCGCTCAAGAGACTGACGCCGCAGAAAAGAGCCGCGGTCAAGATGCAGATCCAGCAGATCATGTTCAACGCTGAGTTCAAGGAGCCCTGAAGACTGGAGATGTAGCGCTGTATTCAGCATCAGCTTTTACTCCACTGTCTTCACATCTCAGACTCAACTCTACTTCATCAGGCTGTTATTAAAGAGGAGCCCTGAACATCTGCACATTTACTGACGCTTTACTCTGTTTTTACTCTACTTTAGTGTCCACATCTCAGCATTATTAGAGTTGAAGGAGCCCCGAGGACTGGAGATTTAGCGCTGTACTCTGCTTTTACTCTGTTCACATGTCAGTTCAGTGTGTTTCCTTTCATTATGATCCTTTATTACTGCTGAAGAGCGCGTCCTGTTCAACTTTACACTGTGAGAATAAATGCCTAATGTAAACCACCTCTTAAACTCTCACACACACACACACACACACACACACAATCACACACACACAGAATTCTGCATATTCCTCGTTGTATTCTGCTGTTCTGCTGTCCACATCTCAGCTTCAGTCTTTCATTTCTCTTTATTACTGTAAAAGAGCCTCTTTTGTAAGCTGAAAGTGCAAATGCAGTGCATCATTTAAACTCTCTGTTAAAACACACGCAGCTCCTTTTCTACAGGCTTTTCCTACATGCATTGTTAAAGATCTCCCTGTGAATAGTTACTGAATGCATTTTAGAAAGCTGAATGTTCTCTAATGCTGCACTGGAATAAATAGTTTGATAGTGACTGAATGATGGTTTTCTTTGCTGATGTTTTATTTTATGAGCTGTGAACATTCGGTTGTGAATACACACATCAATAAACACACAACTGACGGAAGAGTGGGAGGTCTGCATAAATCTAAAGGCAAATAATGTAAAGATAATAATGATCTTTTCAAAAGTTCACCTAAAAGATCCAAATCAGCATCTGAAAAGTGGATATCAGCAGGTAAAATGGACATATTAGCTCCTAAAAGTACAGAAGTGTTTTTGAACACCTGAACGTGTCATGAGGTGTTACTTTTTCTATTTAATTTAAAATTATTTAATTAAAAAAATTGCTTAATTATTTTTACAATTATTTTCCGCATCTCACTATAATAATCCTGTAAGAAAATATCAGCAGCTGCTCACGAGGGTGTAAAAAAAGTCGATAGAGTTTGCAAAAAAAGTAAATTGAGTTTGCGAAAAAAAAAAGTCAATAGTGAATTTTCGAAAAAAAAAAGTCAATAGTGAATTTGCGAAAAAAAAGTCAATAGTGAATTTGCGAAAAAGTCAATAGTGAACTTGCAAAAAAGTCAATAGTGAATTTGCAAAAAAGTGAATAGTGAATTTGCGAAAAAGTCAATAGTGAATTTGCAAAAAAGTCAATAGTGAATTTGCAAAAAAGTGAATAGTTAATTTGCGAAAAAGTCAATAGTGAGTTTGCGAAAAAGTCAATAGTGAATTTGCGAAAAAAAAGTCAATAGTAAATTTGCAAAAAAGTCAGTAGTGAACTTGCAAAAAAGTCAATAGTGAATTTGCGAAAAGTCAATAGTGAATTTGCAAAAAAGTCAATAGTGAATTTGCGAAAAAGTCAATAGTGAATTTGCGAAAAGTCAATAGTGAATTTGCAAAAAAGTCAATAGTGAGTTTGCGAAAAAGTCAATAGTGAGTTTGCGAAAAAGTCAATAGTGAATTTGCGAAAAGTCAATAGTGAATTTGCAAAAAAGTCAATAGTGAATTTGCAAAAAAGTCAATAGTGAATTTGCGAAAAAGTCAATAGTGAATTTGCAAAAAAGTCAATAGTGAATTTGCGAAAAAAAAGTCAATAGTGAATTTGCGAAAAAAGTCAATAGTGAATTAGCGAAAAAAAGTAAATAGTGAGTTTGCGAAAAAAGTCAATAGTGAATTTGCGAAAAAGTCAATAGTGAATTTGCAAAAAAGTCAATAGTGAATTCGCAAAAAAAAGTCAATAGTGAATTTGCAAAAAAGTCAATAGTGAATTCGCGAAAAAAAGTCAATAGTGAATTTGCGAAAAAGTCAATAGTGAATTTGCGAAAAAAGTCAATAGTGAATTTGCGAAAAAAAAGTCAATAGTGAATTTGCGAAAAAAAAGTCAATAGTAAATTAGCGCAAAAAAGTAAATAGTGAGTTTGCGAAAGTCAATAGTGAATTTGAGAAAAGGTCAATAGTAAATTAGCGAAAAAAGTTTATAGTGAATTAGCAAAAAAGTCAATAGTGAATTTGCGAAAAAAGTCAATAATGAATTTGCGAAAAAAAAAAGTCAGTAGCAAGTTTGCGGAAAAAGTCAATTGTGAGTTTGCGAAGGAAAGTCAATAGCAAGGTTTGGTTTTTTATGTTTTTGATGTCAAATTAGTTATTATTAGTTATTTTAACCCAATTGTGAGTAAGATCTGCTGGGTTAATTGTTGAATTAAATTTAAAAGTCCACTTTTTTGTCATTTGTCTATATTTCAGCCAATTGTTTTGCGTTTAGTTGTTTTATTTAGGATGTGTTTATTTACATATTTACATTCATGGACATTTCTGTTGGCTTCAAAATGTAAAACAATGCAATATATAATTTAATATATCAAAATAAATAATTATTAAAAATCATTCAATCATTTAAAATCAATCACTCAATTTAGGGTAAAATATCATGAGTAATATTTTGAGGAGCACATGCTTTGGGTTTGCCTATACTTGTCCACACCAGCTAGTTTTGTGTTGAAATAACGAATATTCAAATATAATTTCAACATAACAATGCATAACAGTAAATGACATTACAAAAATTATTATTCATTATGTAACCCATAACTTCGGAATATTTCAATAAAAATACCAAGATAAGAGCACAAAATTACAACAACACTAAACATGCTGGGTTATTTTAACCCACCTATGAGTGTAATATGGAAAAAAGTAACTGTTGGGTTAATTTTTTATTTCAATTTATTTGACCAAACGTTTTTGGATTTGTCTAAATATTACCAAACTTGATATGAAATAACCCAGCATATTCTTCTGAATTGTGTTCGATTATCTGAGCATGTCGAGATCCATTATGTGCATTTCAGCCTTCATATTCACACACAACTATAAACCAGTGAAGCTGAGATGCAGAACATGAAATGCTGGGTTACTTCAAGCCAATTTGGTGTAAAATGTGGGGGAAAAAACAGCTGGGTTCATTTATTTGAGTTAATTTTATAGGACCAAATTGTCTATATTTAACCTATATTTGGTGGAAATAACGCAGCTTTTTCTACAGTGGAGGGTCAACTTTAAGTTTTTTTATTTATAGCAATTTAGTTTTTGATAAAAGCTAAATAAAATGAGCAAAACAACATAACAATTACAAGTATGCTTAAAAAATGCTGAGTTATTTCAACCCAACCTTGGGTCAAATATCAAAAAACAACCACTGGGTTAATTTATAAAAAAACACACAAAGAGCAAAAAAGTACAAGTATGCTATAAAATGCTGGGTTACTTCAAGCCAATTTGTGGTAAAATGTGAAAAGCGGCTATTTCTTTTGATTAAATTTATAGAACTAAATTGTCTATATTTTACGCAACTTGGGTTGAAATAACCCAGCATTTTTACAGTGTGTGGTCAATTTCTGCTGATTTTTAGTTGTTATTTTTTTCAGAAATTTCGTTTTCAATAAAAAGTTAATTAAATGACCAAAGCGACAAAACTGCTAAAACACAAAACACACACTAATAAATACTGGGTTATTTCAACTCAATTTAGGGTCAAATATGCTGGATAATATTTAATTAAATTTAGAGGGGCACATGTTTTGGGTTTGTCTATACTTGTCTATACCAGCTAGTTTTGTGTTGAAATAACGAATATTTAAATATAATTTGAACATAACAATGCATAACAGTAAATATGAAAAATAACATTAAAAAACTATTATTCATTATAGAACCCAGAACTGAGGCAAATATTGGAATATTCCACTCATTAATTTTCTTTTCAGCTTAGTCCCTTTATTAATCTGGGGTCGCCACAGCGACCATATGTTTTACACATATGTTTTACGCAGCGGATGCCCTTCCAGCTGCAACCCAGTACTGGGAAACATCCACACAGACTCATACACTACGGACATTTTAGCCTACCCAATTTACCTATAGCGCATGTGTTTGGACTGTGGGGGAAACCGGAGCACCCGGAGGAAACCCACGCGAACATGGGGAGAATATGCAAACTCCACACAGAAACGCCAACTGAGCCAGCTGAGGCTCAAACCACAAACCTTCTTGCTGTGAGGCGACAGCACTACCTACTGTGCCACCGCGTCACCTGGAATATTCCAATGAAAACTAAATAATTGCTAAAAATACCAAGATAAGAGCACAATATTACAGCAACATTGTAATGCTGGGTTATTTTAACCCAACTTTGGGTGAAATAAAAAAAACTGCTGGATTCATTTATTAATGAAATTAATTGGACCAAAAGTTTTTGGATTTGTCTATATTTTACCCAACTTAATCTAAAATAACCCAGCATATTCTTCTGAGTTGTAGTCAGTCGTCTGAGCATGTCAAGATCCATTATGTGCATTTCAGCCTTCATATTCACACACAAGTAAACCAGTGAAGCTGACATGCAGAACACACACACACACACACACACACACACACACACACACACACACACATGCACACAAAGCAGAAAAGTACTGGTACGCTATACAAATGCTGGGTTATTTAATCATTAAAATGTGAAAAACTGCTATTTCTTTTAATTAAATGTATAGAACTAAATTGTGATATTTTACCCAACTTGGGCTGAAATAACCCAGCATTTTTACAGTGTACAATCAATTTCTGCTGATTTCAAAGCAATTTTGTTTTCAATAAAGGCTAAATAAAACAACCAATAAAACATGATTGCTAACAATAAAATATAGAGCTGAAAATTACAACAACACATTAAAAATGCTGGGCTATAACCCACCTTTGGGTAAAATATGGGAAAAAAAACATCGCTGGGTTAATTTTTTTAAATCAATTTGTAGCACCAATTTTTTTTGATTTGTTCATATTTTACCCAACTTAATCTGAAATAACCCAGCATATTCTTCTGAGTTGTAGTCAGTCGTCTGAGCATGTCGAGATCCAATATGTGCATTTCAGCCTTGATATTCACACACAACTATAAACCAGTGAAGCTGAGATGCAGAACACACACACACACACACACACACATATATGGAATTAATAACCTCTGCTGGTATCACTGAATGTAAACGCATGTCCATCATTTCTGAGCACGCTGAAGCGTATCTGTGGAATCATAACACTTAAAAACCATAATCTCAACAATGCAGAGCAAATGAATATCAGTAAGCCGGAGCGACGCTGTTTATTTGTATTTAGTTTTGATCCTCCTTATCTGTGTGGCTTAAGAGCGATTCTGGAAATCCATTAATTCCTGTAAGAGAAGCGTGTGTGTGGACGTGGACCAGCACAAAGGACTGGCTGAGGATGAAGGAGAGCTGGACAATAGATTTGGCTTTTTGTGACTCTGTCAAAAAATGAGATGTTGAAGGACTGCGCTTCTGAGATAAGACGGAGAGCAGACATTCCTGATGTTCATAACGGCTGAAATTAAGATGCAGCTCCGCTTGTAGTGTTAGAAATTATAAGAGACTGAACAACACACTCGATCACAGCAAAAACAACATGCTTGTGCTTCTGCTTTGTTTCAGACACAAAATATGTGAATTAAAAATCCTTCTTTTCTGTTTTTGCATTTAATCTTAAAAAAATTATAAAAAGAATTATATGTAAATTATTAAATTATATTATTATGTAATAATATTGCTGTCATTAATGACCAATATGCATTTATTATTAAAATGATTTATATTTTATTATATTACATGGTATTATTAAATATAGTCAAGTCTAAAAGTATTATATCACAAAAAGGAGTTTTTAGCCCATTAATTGTTAAGCTTTTTAACCTATAACAGAGTTGACGATAACACAGTTGATGATAACAGAGTTGACGATAACAGAGATGATGGATAGCAGAGTTGACGATAACAGAGTTGATGACAACAGAGTTGATGATAACAGAGTTGACGATAACAGAGTTGATGATAACAGAGTTGACGATAACAGAGTTGATGATAACAGAGTTGACGATAACAGAGTTGACGGATAACAGAGTTGACGATAACAGAGTTGATGACAACAGAGTTGATGATAACAGAGTTGATGATAACAGAGTTGATGATAACAGAGTTGACGGTAACAGAGTTGACGGATAACAGAGTTGACGATAACAGAGTTGACGATAACAGAGTTGATGACAACAGAGTTGATGATAACAGAGTTGATGATAACAGAGTTGACGGTAACAGAGTTGACGGATAACAGAGTTGACGGATAACAGAGTTGACGATAACAGAGTTGACGACAACAGAGTTGATGACAACAGAGTTGATGATAACAGAGTTGATGATAACAGAGTTTACGATAACAGAGTTGATGATAACAGAGTTGACGATAACAGAGTTGATGATAACAGAGTTGACGGTAACAGAGTTGACGGATAACAGAGTTGACGGATAACAGAGTTGACGATAACAGAGTTGACGACAACAGAGTTGATGACAACAGAGTTGATAATAACAGAGTTGATGATAACAGAGTTTACGATAACAGAGTTGATGATAACAGAGTTGACGATAACAGAGTTGACGATAACAGAGTTGACGATAACAGAGTTGACGGTAACAGAGTTGACGATTACAGAGTTGACGATAACAGAGTTGACGATAACAGAGTTGACGGTAACAGAGTTGACGATTACAGAGTTGACGATAACAGAGTTGACGATTACAGAGTTGACGATAACAGAGTTGACGATAACAGAGTTGACGGTAACAGAGTTGATGATTACAGAGTTGACGATAACAGAGTTGACGATAACAGACTTGACGGTAACAGAGTTGACGATAACAGAGTTGACGGTAACAGAGTTGACGACAACAGAGTTGATGACAACAGAGTTGATAATAACAGAGTTGATGATAACAGAGTTTACGATAACAGAGTTGATGATAACAGAGTTGACGATAACAGAGTTGACGATAACAGAGTTGACGATAACAGAGTTGACGGTAACAGAGTTGACGATTACAGAGTTGACGATAACAGAGTTGACGATAACAGAGTTGACGGTAACAGAGTTGACGATTACAGAGTTGACGATAACAGAGTTGACGATTACAGAGTTGACGATAACAGAGTTGACGATAACAGAGTTGACGGTAACAGAGTTGATGATTACAGAGTTGACGATAACAGAGTTGACGATAACAGACTTGACGGTAACAGAGTTGACGATAACAGAGTTGACGGTAACAGAGTTGACGACAACAGAGTTGAAGATAACAGAGTTGATAATAACAGAGTTGATGGTAACAGAGTTGACAATAACAGAGTTGGCGGTAATTAAGTCGATGGTAACAGAGTTGACAATAACAGAATTGACGAAAAGAGAGTTGACGATAACAAAGTTGATGATAACAGAGATGATGGATAACAGAGTTGACGATAACACAGTTGATGATAACAGAGTTGATGGATAACAGAGTTGATGATAACAGTTGATGATAACAGAGATGATGGATAGCAGAGTTGACGATAACACAGTTGACGATAACAGAGATGATGGATAACACAGTTGACGATAACACAGTTGACGATAACAGAGATGACGATAACAGAGTTGATGATAACAGAGTTGACGATAACACAGTTGATGATAACAGAGTTGATGATAACAGAGTTGATGATAACAGAGTTGATGATAACAGAGTTGACGGTAACAGAGTTGATGATAACAGAGTTGACGATAACAGAATGACAGTAACAGAGTTGACGATAACAGAGTTGACGATAACACAGTTGACGATAACACAGTTGACGGTAACAGAGTTAACGATAACAGGGTTGACAGATAATAGTGTTGACGATAACAGAGATGATGGATAACAGAGTTAAAGATAACAGAGTTGACGATAACAGTTGACGATAACAGAATGACAGTAACAGAGTTGACGATAACAGAGTTGACGACAACAGAGTTGACGATAACACAGTTGACGATAACACAGTTGACAATAACAGAGTTGACGATAACACAGTTGACGATAACACAGTTGACGGTAACAGAGTTAACGATAACAGGGTTGACAGATAATAGAGTTGACGATAACAGAGATGATGGATAGCAGAGTTGACGATAACACAGTTGATGATAACAGAGATGATGGATAACAGAGTTGAAGATAACAGAGTTGAAGATAACAGAGTTGACGATAACAGAGTTGACGATAACAGGGTTGACGATAACACAGTTGACGATAACAGAGTTGACGATAACAGAGATGATGGATAACAGAGTTGACGATAACACAGTTGATGATAACAGAGTTGACGATAACAGAGTTGACGATAACAGTTGACGATAACAGAATGACAGTAACAGAGTTGACGATAACAGAGTTGACGACAACAGAGTTGACGGATAACAGAGTTGACGATAACAGTTGACGATAACAGAATGACAGTAACAGAGTTGACGACAACAGAGTTGACGATAACAGAGTCTAAGATAACAGAGTTGACGATAACTGAATTGATGGTAACAGAGTCAATGGTAACTGAGTTGACAAAACAGAGTTGGCGGTAATTAAGTCGATGGTAAGAGAGTTGACAATAACAGAATTGACGAAAAGAGAATTGACGGTAACAAAGTTGACGATAACAGAATGACGGTGACAGGGTTGACGATAATAGAGTTGATGACAACAGAGTTGACGATTACAGAGTTGACAATAACAGAGTGGACAGTAACAGAATTGATGATAACAAAATTGACGGTAACAGAGTTGACGATAACAGAGTTGACGGTAACAAAATTGACGGATAGCAGAGTTGACAGGAACAGAGTTGACGATAACAGAGTTGACAATAACATAATTGATGGTTTCAGAATTGACGGTAACAAAGTTGACGATAACAGATTGACGGTAACAGAGTGGACAGTAACAGAGTCGATGGTAACAAAGTTGATGATAACCGAGTTGACAATATCAGAAATAACGGTAACAAAATTGATGGTAACAGAGTTGACCATAACAGAATTGACAATAACAGAAATGACGGTAACAGAATCAATGCCAACAGATTGACGGTAACAGAGTTTATGATAACAGAGTTGACAATAACAGAGTTGATAATAACAAAGTTGACGGTAACAGATTGACTGTAACAGAATTGATGATAACGGGGTTGTGTGTGTGCGTGTGTATGTTTGTGAGCGTGTGTGTTTATGAGCGTGTGTGTGTGTGAGCGTGTGTGTTTGTGAGTGTGTGTGTATGTGAACAGTGTGTGTGTGTGTTTGTGTGTGCATGTGAACAGTCTGTGTGTGTGAATGAGGGTTAAACAGGTGAAGGTCTCAGTAAATCTCATGCAAATGCAGCGTCTGAAGCTGATCCACGTTTATCCGCAGCACAACAATGAGGATTTCCTTCTCGTTTCATACCGCAGATCTGATTTCTTGTCGGCTAAAGCCAGATTACCTGAATCTGCCGCACAAAACGGGCCTCAGATTAGCTGCATGTCTGTATAGGGGGATTATGCAGGACGCGTTCATATATAGCGGAGCCATGGAGCCGCGCATTCAGTGCTGATGGAGAGCCACGTGCAGGACAAGAGGAGCTTCGGCTTCAGCATCGACAGCATTTTGAGTCTCAGAGACCAGAAGGAGGAAGAGGAGGAGGCAGAGACGCATCTTCATCATCTTCATCATCTTCATCACGATCTTCATCATCGGGCCACAGAGCTGCAAACACACTCCTGCAGGACCTGCTGCTTATGCTCACACTGTGGAGAAATCCTGCAGTCTGACAACGGTAAGACCACCTTCATCATCATCATCATCATCAATATCATCATCTTCTACATCTTCATCATCATAATCTTCATCATCATCATCCTCATCATCTGCATCTTCATCATCATCCTAATCAATATCATTATCTTCAATATAATCATCATCCTAATCGTCATCATCTTCATCT